CCTACATTCATCTTAGGCAACATCCGTAATAGTAAAACGTGCGAAGTAATCTTGTCCTTGAGCCGAGCTGAAGAAACGCGCAGGCACATCCTCTCCCCACCCCGCTCAGAGCTTTTTTGCGACACCACATCTCGCTTAATGCTCCCGCGCGGCTCATGTATCTCCCTTTAAATGAATTTTAGATAGTGTTTATTAGGTTTTCATCACTCTGTTACCTATATTACATAATTCCACACTGCCGTAAAAACTTTGCTAAGTGTTTTATTCATAGACTTTTAAACAGATCATTAGACGCTATTGAAATGTCGACTCGAGCTTGCTTGAAGATTTGTTGTGTAATAAATAGGCGTAAAATGACCGATCATCAAAATGAAAAGATTGGTAAAACTTTGTTCGGAATAATGGCGAAGGTCAGTCGCATTGCGTAAAGGTTCATTATTCAGGAACTCACAACGACGCAAGTAATTACGTAACGCCGCACAACGGTGCTTTTATGACAAAACAAACCACGTAGTTCGTAGGTTTGAAATCACCGCAATATCAAAGTGTGGGATTTATAATACGACAAATTCTCAAAATACTAAGCATCACTGTAAATCCCTCTTTCCTCTATCCACCATCATTTGGTTAACGGGCCTAGTTGGTAGTTGTTCATGACCCTCAATGAAAATGAAGGTGGCGCAGCCGCCAATTCGAGCTGCAGAGCTTGGGTTTCAAAGTTTCAAAGCTCGCAACTCATTTGCTTAACGTTCTAAAAAGCATATAACCTTGCCAGCCTCGTAGGTTATCAATCACTTTTTGAGGTTTAGCATTAGCGTGTTGCATTACAAACTTTCAAGGGTGCGCTGAAAGAACTTCCGGTTGGCTTAGATCTCTAAGGGGTGAAACACTACTTCCGGCCTGTAAATTCAGCTATTTATTGAGATTACATATTTTAGCCGGTGGCTGAGCAACCTCTCTTAGTAAACTGCTCGTAAATCAGTCAGAAAGTTTCGAATCACTCTTCTTTGTTTTATCAAACACTTATTACACAGCAAAGTTTAAAACCAATCCCAACTATTTTATTGACATATTTTTACATTTTGATGATTTACAATTTTATATTGCACACTTCTATATGGAATAAAAAAATTTTACTAAATTAAATATCAAAAAACAGTCCATTCAATCTGCTCGTTTAACTCAGGAACAGGTTCCTTGCTCAGCATGGTGGAAATATTCCAGTAAAAGAAGTATGGCTGCAAAATTGCTTAATCTTAGATGTAACATTACTTGAAGCTATACCTCTAAATATAATTAATGATCTGGCGGAACTGAATTTTGTATCCCTGTTATCGTATCAGACTTGATTTCAAACAAAAGTTTTAAGACCTGTGTAATCGTTGATCTAAAAGAGCTTATTGACCAGGCTGACTGACAGATCACATTTGTGTAACCCTTAGACTCCCAGAAGTGATTAACTTGTAACTTCTCCCTATGATATCCAGACATGATCCAGCAAACAGGTAATGAGAATACTCAAAGTTATCAGGTAGAAGTTATTATCTTGATCTAACACCAAATTCTCGTAACAAATTCACAAAGAAATGTGTAACAGCCAGAGGGGAGAATTGACAATCAGATCTTGGGAGTTGAAAGGTTAATGTGCAA